GCAAAAATACACTTTTAATACAACATTAGTAGAGTGGGTACCTAGTAGTGCCTGCTGTAATGGCTGCAAAACAGTTTCTATTGTAACTCTGTTTTAATTTTTAAACCCTCTGTTTTTTCCATTGGGAAGATGCAGCCATCACAATGTAAACCGATGTACTGCTGCCTTGTTAAACCAGCGTTGCAGAATTGCCCCCAACTACAGCAACAGCAAAGGGAGGAATTCACTCTTCCTCACTCTATCACCTCAGTGACATTAGATGCGAAGGCCATTTCCCCTTCATATTTCCTGCTTTTAAACATCCTAGACAATTATTTAGATTGTAAGTTTTTGGGGCCAGGGACCGGCTTATTGTTCTGTTTCTACAGCACCGGGCGCAATGGAGTCCTGGTCTGTGACTGGGGCTCCTGGTGCTACAGTAATTTTACTACTAAAAGTAATAATAAATGAAAAAAAATGGTTTTAATTTGACATAACTGGAATTGTAGTAGGAATGAATGACCCTAAACTGTATGGTTTAACTCACAACGTCAGTAAGTGCATAAGTTAACGGATGGTATTGCACCTATACAGAATTTTCCATTTTGGTTAAATGTCTAGCTTAACATAGGTTGGTTTACTTCACAAAAATACATATTATAAACCATACAGGATATGCAATGTGACCAAGTTCTCATAGCTTTGGAACCTCATCCTTTCCTGACAACTTTTTATTTGAACAATACAATCTCAATGTTGCATTAATACAGTTTGTTTCAATTTAAATTATGCAATTTTTTTGTTCTGGCTAATGTGTGTGATCTGTTTACTTAGAGGGCCCTCATCACCATAGTATTTGAATTAATGATTTTATTCCCAGCAACACCCTTGTGAGGCAGGGAACTATTATTATCCACAATCTGAAGACAGAAATACACAGAGATGAAGTGACTAGGCCAAGGTCACACAAGAAATCTGTGGCAGAGCCTGGAATTGAATCAGATCCATCTAGTTCAGTGCTTTAACCGCAAATCTAGCCTTTCACTCTCTGCACTGACACACTGAAAATCGCTACAGAAATGAATAAAATAATGTCTACAAATCCACGATACACAATATAGCATTGTTTTGGCTACATGGAGAGCTGAAAACAAACGTCATCATGTTTACTCCCACACTCTGCAACTGTTGGGACAACATTTGTCCATAAAGAGACCCCATTAAAAACCCTTTAAAATAAGAACAAAAGAGCTCCTATAGTGGGCAGGCCCAGTATCCTGTCTCCAAGAGTGGTCCATGGCAGAGGTTTAGGGGGAGTGTACAGAATGGGAAATTGTGGAGTGATCCACCCATCTTCCACTGCCAGCTTCTGGCAGTCAGAGATTTAGGGTTGGCGTCCCTGACCATCCCGGCTAATAGCCATCGACACACCTATCCTCCCTGAAGTTACCCAGTTATTTTTTTAACCCAGTTATGCTTTTTGATATCACAACATCCCATGACAATGCGTTCCACAGATTAGTTGTGCAATGTGTGAAAAACTACTTCCCTTTCTTTGCATTAAACCTGCTGCCTACCAATTTTATCAGGTGACCCCTGGTTTTTGTTTTTTTCCACACCATTCATGATTTTATAGACTTCTATCATATCCCCACTTAGTCATTTCTCTTCTAAGATGAACAGCCCCAATCTTTTTCGTTTTTCTCATATGGAAGCCGTTAATCTTTGTTGCCCTTCTCTGAAATCTTTTCCAGTTCCACTATATCCTTTTGGAGATGGGGTGACTAGAACTGGACACAGTATTCAAGGTGTGGGCATACTATGGTTTTATATAGTGGCATTATGATATTTTCTGTGTTATTTTTTTATCCCCTTCCTAATAGTTGCTAGGATATAATTAGCCTTTTTGATTGCTGCTGCACACTGAGCAGCAGTTTTCAGAGAACTATCCAAAGTAATTCTGAGATCTTTCTTGGATGGGAACAGTTAATTTAGAACCCATCATTATATATGTACAGCTGGGATTATTTTTTCAGGGTGCATTATGTTGCATTTAGCATCACTAAATTTAATCTGCCATTTTGTTGCCCAGTCACCCAGCTTTGGAGATCCCTTTGCAATTCCTCAGTCTGCTTTGGACTTAACTATCTTGAATAATTTTGTGTCATCTGCAAACCGTGAAACTTCATTATTCACCCCCTTTTCCAGATCATTAATAAATATGTTGAACAGCACAGGTCCCGGTACAGATGGCTGGGGGTCCCACTGTTCACTTCGCTCCATTGTGAAAACTCACTATTTATTCCTACTCTTTGTTTCCTATCTTGCAACCAGTTACTGATCCACGAGAGGACCTTCCCTCTTATCCCATGGTTACTTAGTTTCCTTAAGAGCATATGGTGAGGGACCTTGTCAAAGGCTTCCTGACAATCCAAGTACACAATATTGACTGGATCACTCTTATCCACATACTTGTTGACTCTCTCAATAAATTCTAATAGATTGGTGAGGCATGATTTCCCTTTACAAAAGCCATGTTGACTCTTCCCCAAACAAATTGTGTTTTTCTATGTGTTTTTGTTCTTTACTACAGTTTCTACCAATTTGCCTGGTACTGAAGTTAGGCTCACTGGCCTGTAATTGCCAGAATCTACTCTGAAGTCCTCTTTCAAAATTGGCATTAGATTAGCTACCTTCCAGTCATCTGGTATAGAGTGATTTCAGTGATAGGTTACATACAAGTTAGTAGCTCTGCAATTTCATATTTGAGTTCCTTCAGAACTCTTGGGGTGAATGCAAAGATCATTGCAAGCACACTGGCATATGGATGGGCAGTTTACAAAAGAAGTGGCCTATAGAACTTGACTGGGTGTATGCCTTAAGGCTTAATATAGGTGTTTGGATACCACAGTAATGGGTGTGGTATAAGATGATAGACAGACTTATCCATGACAAAAGCCTACTCCAAAAAAAAGCCCCTAGTATCAGAATCACAGTCAGAATTTAAAACCTGATCTTGTTCCTACTGAAGTAAATAACGAACTTCTAGTGGCTCCTGGACTGAGATGGGAACTGTGCAACTAACGTGTGCATTAGATATTAGGAAACTTGTACAGCAAATACAACAGTTTTGTTCTGTTGTACATTCTGCACATTTAAAAATATTTTTTAAACAAAACTAGCTTCTAGCCTCTCCCAGTGGCAATGTGTATTTCACTTGTGTGTGCTGCCTGTACCTTGGAGTGTTGCATGGCAGCAACCCCTGGACTACCTGTGGCCTAGACCTCTCTGCAATATGACCCACTGTCCTCATCTTTAATACATAAGTGCATGCCGCATCATCTTGACTCAAGATGAAACACTGTATGCTGGGACAGGTAATCTTTGTGGATTGCATCTGTTTATTAGAGATCATAAGAGCGGCTGAAGTATGTTCCCTTTTATGCAAATTAAGAGCAGCCCTCAAACTCAGGGGAAGTTTACCAACGTGATCGTCATTTGGAGAAAGTTTGATGTGCTTGCCTTTCAGAGTCCTATCTTCAAAAATAGGTATATACTTTCTGCAATTGTGTAACTAAGGGCTGGTCTACACTGGGGGGGGGGAATCAATCCAAGATACGCAACTTCAGCTATGCGAATAGCGTAGCTGAAGTCGAAGTATCTTGGATCGAATTACCTGGGGTCCACACGGCGTGGGATCGATGGCCGCGGCTCCCCCGTCAACGGCGCTACTGCCGCTCGCTCTGGTGGAGTTCCAGAGTCGACGGTGAGCGTGTTCGGGGATTGATATATCGCGTCTTAACGAGACGCGATATATCGATCCCGGATAAATCGATTGCTACCCGCCGATACGGCGGGTAGTGAAGACGTACCCTAAGAACAAGAAGCCTGGTGTTGAATTAGGATATATAATAAAACGGAGGCATCAAATTTTTAAAAAAAATGTTGGCAAATGTACAAATATAACAATACTAACAGCACATTTGTAACTGATACTGGTCAGCCCTTTGAACGGTTCAAACAGGCCTAAATCCTCACTGAGCAAGAAAATCTGTGCTTTCAGTGAAAGTCTGCTACTGCATAAAGAGAATGTCCCACTGTTCTCTACCTTCAATACAATTGGCAATGTGCATAAAACAGGAAAGATTGTTTCTATATTGCATAAGCATATTGCTGTGCTTGCAGGATGGCACCTCTGTCTCATACAAGGCCAAAATGTCCTACAGAAAGACAGTATTTTAGCAACCTTCTTTGTCAATGGAAAGAACATTTATTAGTATCTGGTCAAATTCCTAAGCCCTGTCTCTTGTCTAGCTCATAGCATTGTGCTGTAATTGTAACTGGAACGCATTCAAAGCTACTGAACATGCAAATAAAACTTAAAAGATACCTCAATTTAGCAGTTGGCTTTAATTCAGCCTTCATTTACCAGTCGCTGACGAATTCTTGTTTCCTTATTTCAAGCAGTGGAGCAAGATTTCCATAACGCTTGCTATAGCCCCAGATAATTTTCAATCATCTCACCCTCCTTTCCTAATAGCAGTTTTACTAACCTCAGACCCAACAATACTGGATATGGTGGTAAGAGAAATCTCTCCCTTATGCCATTGCAGGTGGATGTGTAAATAAATACATATTTTATATATATATAAATCTCTGTTATCTATCTCTATATAGGAGTGTTTGTATATGTGCATATATAGATTTAATATATACATATACACACACAAATACAGTGTCACTTGTACACTTTTTTCAATTATAGCATTTATCCTTTAAAAATGCCAAGAAAATATTCCCTATTTCCAAAAAATTGGGTTTAGACTTTTCCTAACAGAATTGCTAGCCCTTATTTGTTCCATTCCAAGAGTTCGTTTATGCAGTTCCCAAGTTCTCTTTGGTTGGGTTGTAGTGATCCTTGGTTGATGCCATGGCCTATGATCCTTGACCTCCTGGTGAAAATTCAGGCAACCTCTGCTCTCTGAGTTCACTGCGAATGCCGTAACCAAATTTTCTCTGCTCTATGCTTCTTTCACAGCTGGCACAGAAGGAAGGTAATGTAATGTTTGATTTGTGTGGGTTGTTGATGCTTGAAGTGCTCCAAGCCCAGCTTTTACAGTAAAGCTGGCGACTGAGGACACTGACGGACAACTGGTGCCCAGTTTGGTTTGAATGTTTGTTCTCCCGTAGGAGTACATTTTCCGCTCTAAGTTTAAAGACCGTGGTTGTGAATTATTTCCATTGGCCTTTCCTTCAAGAAAATAGGTCAACATTTCGCCTTTTCCCTTTACACTGACTTTACCTCGGCACTCAAACTCGTAAGTGCACCTCTTTAATATCCGCTGAACTTCTTCTGTCACCTGTGGGTAAGAACAGCCAGTATTATATTTTACCATTCCTATCAATTAGCTAGGGTTAATCCTAGAGTAAGAAAACAGAATTATACTTCTCTATGGCACTTCCTTTAACTGTGATGAAAGATGCTCCATGGAATGAATGAGTAACTATTGGTTTTGGTTTCCCCTGGTACGTGCTTTGGTGGTAATAATTATAATAATGAATAATGAGATGGGCCCTAAGGAGCAAATTTCAGATCTCCAAAGTTCTGGGGCGTTCAGAGCTGGGGTTTTGGTTCTCTCATTAGAAACACAGGGTCTAATTCTCCGGTGGTGCAAGCTAGCACAGCTTCATTGAAGCTAGTTTACAGCAACAGAGATTTTGGCCAAATGTGAAGTTCAGATACAGGCAGTCCCCAAAGTTCAGTCTGTGCTGGGAGCTGCAGCTTTGTTTCAGGACAATCTCGAAGTTTAATAAAATTTTACAAGCGTGCGGTGCCTTTCATCCAGAAAGATTCCACAAGCTATACAAGATGTGACTAAATACAATCTGATATAGGTCCTTATCCTGTAGTCCTTATTCAGGCAAAATTCCCAGAGTGAAATGGAAGTTTGGGGGTGATTGGCCTGCGTAAAGACTGCAGATTCAGGCCTATAATCCAACGGAGTGCAGTACAGCACAGCAGGAATTTGAAGGGGAAACCTCTCTTTGTGGTTTGTTGATCCTTTGATTTCACCACTTCAAAGCAGTGGAGCAGATAACAGAAGAATAACTACACAGCAGGCACCTGAATCACCTTGGGGATGTTGCCACCTTCATAAGAAACATGAAGAGATTGAGACTGAGCTTTCTAAGCAGCCTTGAAAATGTAATCATAGGATTGTTAATAAACAGGAACTTCAAACTGATAAAGAGTGATTGGAATGTACTCACCTGAATTTTACCCTGCACTCCAGTACTATCCATTCTGCTGGCAACGTTTACAGTGTTGCCCCAGATATCGTATTGTGGTCTTCTGGCCCCAATAACTCCTGCCACTACAGGCCCAACATTAATACCTAAAATCAGAACAACGGCTTTTATTTTGTTGTTGCTGCTTCAAGTGCTGTGACATAGATCTAAGAGAAACAGTCACTCTTTCCAACTGTTTCACCATAAATGACTTCAGTGTTTTTACCTGTCTTAGTACACAATAGCATCATCTTATATTAGAGCTTTTCAACACCCAGGATCCCGAAGAGTGTTAGAAATTGAACAATACAGGCACACAGAGCTCACCTAAAATGTAACATTATTTTAACTCAAATTAAAAAAAACTGTTCTAATCTCATGAAGGAAATTCTCAATTTCAATCTTCCTGGGGGGAGGAGGAGGAGAGGAAGAATCACCTCTGGCATAAAATGTATCAGCTGTTTAGTACCACATGTCATGGCAAGAGGTTATTGACCCTTGATTACTTCTTATGGGCTCTACTGTGCTTTTTAAGAGACAGCCTCCTAAGCGGGAGTGCACCGACCAGGCACCGCCATTGGCCTGGGAAACATCAGGAGTTGGGGCAGGGGGAAGCAGGTCACATGAGAAATTCTGATACCAGCACTAGACTAGGGATGTATTCTGCATGCAGAGGCACACATGCTCCCCTGGGAGTGCTATCAGGGGAGAAGCGCTCAGAACTGGCACATACATTTCCTTTTTGGAGGCACAGTATTAGCTCCCAGGCCCTATGCTGATTTCACCAGCTAGTGTGGAAGTGGGGAGCGGCATGACCCTACCGCCTTTTGCGGTTTCTTGCACAGCTGCTGGTTCTAATGGTCTCAGGCCCTGTGCAAGGATGAGAATTGTGGCTTCCCCATGACAAGTTGCACAAGTTAAGTGGGGAGAGGGATCCTGGTGCTCTGTCTGTCCCTTGCACACTTGTGCATGGCCAGCCACACTGTGGTCTTCTAAGGACACTTTGGAGGAAGGCATTGTACTAGTGATGGAGGAAAGCTTCCAGTTGCTGGGCGGTGGGGGAGTTCAGGACTGTAGCATGACTCGCCTCTCCTCACTATTGATGTCATAGTCTATGACCACTTTCACCACTTGGCTGCTAGTGTATCCACTCCACTTTAAGTGAACAACTGATCCACTCCAGTTTGAGCGCACAACTCAACCAATGAGCGAGGAAACAAAAGGGGTGAGGGTGGGGGAAGCATGTCAAATTAGAGGATTTCACTGAGATGAGAACAGCTGTGGAGTTACCGTTGGGGAAGGGCTGGAAGGAGGGATGGCACTGAAGCAATGAAGGCTGCAGAAGGGAACTGGCTTCCAGGGGTGAGGATCACAGTGCAATTCTTCATGTGGAGGAGAGAAATGTGTGTGTGGCATGCGAAGGCTAAAGAAGGAAGCGGGGGGGGGGGTTGATTTGTTGGAGGAAGCAGAAGCTGCAGCAACTAGGAGAGGAAATGAGCTAAAAGCAAGAAACCTTTTGATAACATAAGAAAGGTCTCAAAGATTCCAAAGCATTTTACAAACTATATATGCACACAAAACATGTACACACACCAGTGAAGTACAGCTAGCTCTGGAGTGGAATTCTGCAGCAGTTTAACAAGGCACAGCAATATTAGAGAACAGAGTATGACAGGGAATGAAAGCTAACCGTATGCAATTGAAACTCTAAAACAATTTTAGCTAAGCATCACGTAACTAACCAAACTGGAATTGGTCCTGGACATAAAGCCTAGCACCCTTAATCTTGATGCTTTCATTCCCACCTTCTGCATGTGTAACTCCCCTTAAATTAATGGCAGTTGTGCAAACATGCTAATGATAAAATGGCCATCGATCTAGACTCTTCTGGCTCCAAGTTTCACTCAAGAGCATGAATATGAGCAATTTTCATTAAAATATATGGTCAATTCTCTACTACTGAACCTCTTAAGATAAAATGGGGAAGGCAGCCAACAGCAATGCTATGTTTTATAGGCTAACTCTAGAAACATGACTTACCAACTCGGAGAACAAAGTCGTTGTAAGACTGATAGTTGATTTCATCAAGAACGTCAAACATCTCTATTGCAAAATCTGCCAGTGTACTCAAGTGGGAATCAACTGATTTTTTAGCCTAGATACAAAATAACATTTTACATTAGATTTACACAGTAGTATGAGCCAGATGAAACACTGCCATACCCCTTCATTCTCAACTGCATCTAAACTATTTTGCTAAATGTGAAATGGAACTTTCAATTGTGTTTCGGATGTTTGCATTATTTTCTCCAGTGCTGAATTGTTTTTGTTTCTCTTTTTGACTTCTGGGAGTCATGGGGACAAATCAGGAGACACAGACACTCAATGGGAAAAAGGGATCACAACAACAAGTCAGATGTGGCCAAAGCCGTTATATGAAGCTCCTCCTTCTATATTCCAGTAATTGACATTCTTTGTCTATTTATTATGGATTAGCATTGCAGCTCTGGCACATGACTTACCAAGGACTTACTACCAGCTTAAACTTCAAGACAGAGCTGTCCTTACTTTTACCATCATCTTTTCTGTCCGAAACTCAAATGCTCTGGATTCCTGCCTTCCTCAGGTGTTTTTGAGAGGAGAAACAGATGAGTAAACACCAGGAAAGCAAAATTGATGTGGAAAAAAGTGTTTCTGTTGCTGGGCAACAGCTATTTGTTCAGAGCTGTAAGCATTGTTTCCTGTGGTAACTGATAACTGGGGCTTTTGCTAGCTAAGTGGGTTCTGGGGGCTTCATGCTGCTCCTGTTGACAACATTCCTGTTGACCTGAGTAGTGCAGGATTGGATTCAATCCTGTGAGGAATGGAGAAGCCTTATCTCCCTTGCTTTCAGTAGGAGGTGAAGGCTGGTCAGACCCTTCAAGGTCTAGTTCCTTTGTAGAGATTTAGTCTGAATTATGTCAAGATTAAATATGAATAGGTAGAACAGATTTTCAAAGTGAAAAGCTTGGAACAACTGTAGGGGGTGGGAGAGAGGTGGAGGGGCCAGTGCAGGGGATGGTTTTGATGGGGTGGAAGGAAGGTTTGCACAGGAAGGCTTTGGTAGCTGGCATGGGATGAATCGTGATAGGTGAGCAGGCAGCTCACTGGGTGGGTTCATGATGGTGAGGATGTGACATGTCTAGCTGGGGGAAGTCCAGAGTGGTCCCCAGAGAGATGCATTGTATTGCTGCTCTGTTGTCTAGCATTATTCTGATTGGGTGGCCCTTGATGGGTGGTGGGAACTATTGGTGAGTGTAACAAACTGCTCTGAGCTTCAGTATGTTGACATGGAGGCTCATCTCCTGAGGGGTCAATTTGCTCTGTGCTGTCAGTTTCTGGAACTGTGTGCCCCAACCTATCAGGGAGCATCTGTGATGATAATCCTTCTGGGAGGAAGCTGTAGGAAGGGAACTCCCACACACCCATTTTGTGGGTCCTTCCACCAATTTAGTGAAGCGAGGACTTTCTGAGCAACAGACGCCTGCTTGGATAGACTCAGATTGTTGGGGATGTAGATGGTTTTCAACCGTGCTTGAAGACACTGAGATTGAAGTCTTGCTAAAGGAGTCAAGAATGAAGAGGCTGCCATATGGCCCAAGCATTATAGGCAGGCCTTTGCAGTGATATGTGAACATTGTTGAATTATTGAAACAAGGTTGGACATTGTGGCGAATCTGTCTTTGGGGAAGTACACTCTGGCAGACAGAATCTAGTGTGGAGCTGATGAAATCTGTACACAGGGGTGAAAGTAAGTTAGGCCACTTACCAGTATGGGCTGGGGGGGGACGGGGACTACGGCCCCCGGAAGGGGTGGGGCCTCGGGTGGAAGGGGCGGGGCTGGGGGTCAGCATCTCCCAACCAGCTCTTTCAGGCCGCCTGGCCCACACCGCCCAGGGCTCCCGTGTTGATTTAAAGGGCTCGGGGCTCCGGACACCACTGCTGCGCTAGCGGCAGCAGCATCTGGAGCCCCGGGCCCTTTTAAATTGCTGGCCCCAGGGCAACTGCTCTCTTTGCCGCTCCCCCGCCCCCGTCGGAGGCTGCGGGGGTTTGGGGGGGCAATGGGGCAGGGACATTAAAGCGCGGCAGGGCCCTTTGCTGCGGCAGCGCTTTAACATTGCTGCACCCCCCGCCAACCCCTGCTGCCGCGGCAAAGGACCGTCCTTAAAGTGCTGCCGCGGCAAAGGACCGACCTTAAAGTGTTGTCGCGGCAAAGGACCGACCTTAAAGTGCTGCTGCAGCAGTGCTTTAATGTCCCTGCCCCTTTTGCTTCCCCTGTCGACGGCCCTGCCGGTACGGACCCTACCAGCAGGGCTGCCGACAGGGGGAAGGGGCAGCGACGTTAAGCAATCCTTAAAGCACTGCTGCGGCAAAGGACCGTCCTTAAAGCGCTGCCGCGGCAGCGCTTTAACTTCGCTGCCCATCCCCCCCCCCTCCCCCGGCTCACTTTCACCCCTGTCTATACATCGTGTGGGTGTTAGAGTAGGCTTTTCCACATTGAGGCAGAAGCTCAGAGAGTGAAACAGAGAAAGGGCCTTGCTGATTGCTGTCTGTACTTCAATAAGTAAACAACCTTTCAGGGGCCAATTGTCCAGGTAGGGGAAGATGATTATGCCCATCTGGTGAAGATAGGCTGCTGTGGCTGACAGAACTTTGGTAAGAACCCTTTGGGCAATGGAAAGGCCTAAGGATAAGACACAATACTGGCAATGATCCCTGCCTACCACAACACGCAAGGATTGTTTGAGGGATGAATGACGACATGAAAATAAGTATCCTGAAGGTCCAGGGAAACAGACCAATCTCCCAGACCTAGGGAGGGAATTATCGTTGCTAGGGTTATCATTCTGAACGGTTGGGAGTGGGCAAAAGTGTTTAAAATCCTCATGTCCAGAATTACTCTACAGTGTTTTTTGGGGGGGATGAGGAAGTACCAGGAATAGAAGCTTTTCCCAACCAAGTCTGGTGGAACAGATTCGATCATCCCAAGAGCTAGCAGGGATTAGAGCTCCTGCCTTAAGAGGTCTTTGTAAAATGGGTTCCTGACGAGGGAGGGAGGAGCCATGGGAGGTGGTAGGGAGCTGAACTGGATGGAAAAGCTTGTAGAAATCACCCCTAGGATCTGTTTGTGACACTGGCAGACCAGCTGCCAGCTCACGCCAAGGTCCGTAGGCCATGGAATACTGACAAATGCATAGCTGGAAACCAGTCTGGCTCACCTGTGTGTTAGCAGCGTTAAAATAGATATTAGAGTTATAAGAAAGTGGTTAGTGTTTAGACTTAATGAAATGCTTGTAGGATGCTAAATGTATTAATTTTACTTATAATATCTGTATTCCATGTTACAAGGTAATATTTAAGTGTTTGCTCTGCAACTATAAAAATGTTTGCTAAGTCTGAAAACCCCACAGTCGGGAGAGAAGCATTACCAAGTGTGAAATACTAATTTTCCACAAGAGGAGTCATCTCCTCCCCAACAAAAGAAGGCCTATAGGCACCAGACAAGCAATTGTGGAACATCAGTGGACATAAGACTTTATTGACTGCTTCCCCTGTATCCATGAAGAGGGTATGTGCACAAGCCCTTGTCCCATCTCAGCTTGAATGCGGGGGGAAGGGAATAAAAATTCCTGTTAAGGAGAAATTATCATCACTATGCTGTTTGGGATTTGGAGAGGGCGATATTTCTAAGCATAAGCAAGGGATTACCAAGCCGCTTAGTTTGGGTTTGTTTGTCTCTAAGGGTACGTCTACACTACCCGCCGGATCGGCAGGTAGCGATCGATCTATCAGGGATTGATTTATCGCGTGTAGTGTAGACGCGATAAATGGATCCCTGATCGCTCTCCCGTCGACTGCTGAATTCTAACAGTGCGAAAGGTGGAAGCAAAGTCGATGGGGGAGCCGCAGCCGTCGATACTTACTTCGCGTCCTCGCGGCATGGGAATTTTAATTCGATCTAAGATACGTCGACTTCAGCTACGCTATTCTCGTAGTTGAAGTTGCATATCTTAGATTGATTCCCCCCGCCCCCAGTGTAGACCAGGCCTTGGGTGCCACAAGTATTCCTGTTCTTTTTGCGGATACAGACTAACAAGGCTGCTACTCTGAAACCTGTCATTATGCAAGGCGCTGAATTTAGCCGTATGGAGTGGAAATCCATCAACTTAATGAAAAAACTCGTACAGATACAGACAAACATCATCTTCCTTTCCAAATGCAAACAGAAGGACATCATACCAAAAGGACTAAAGGTAAAAAATCCATTACAATCTACATATCACACAGACTATGCTGAGAGATTGTGCCACACACTCTCAAAGAAACTGCGAAACCACCTGATCAACATCCTATACAGCAAACCGGGAAAGATTAAGAATGAGCTCTCAAAAACTATGCATCTGATGAAGTGGGTTGTAGCCCACGAAAGCTTATGCTTAAATAAATTTGTTAGTCTCTAAGGCTAGGTCCACACTACCCGCCTGATTCGGCGGGTAGAGATCGATCTTCTGGGATCGATTTATCGCGTCTCATCTGGACGCGATAAATTGATCCCAGAAGCGCTCCCCCGTCAACTGCGGAACTCCTGCTCGCCGAGAGGAGGAAGCGCTGTCGACGGGGGAGCATGCCTGTGCCGCGTGGACCCGCAGTAAGTAAACTTAATTCGATCTAGGAAACGTCAACTTCAGCTACGCTATTCTCGTAGCTGAAGTTGCGTTTCCTGGATCGATCCCCCGCCACAGTGTGGACCAAGCCTAAGGTGCCACAAGTACTCCTGTTCTTTTTTTAGTTTGGGTTATCACTAAAGGACATATACAGCTTGCATATATAGCAGCTACTATCACCTTTTGTATACGTTTATCTGCTTTAACCTTGTAAATAACCCTTATTTATTTTCTTGGTTAATTAGTTAGTTTATTACAAGATTGTCTACAAGGTTTGTGTTTGGTGAGATCAGGGGTGCAATTGACCTGGGGTGAGTGACTGATCCTTTGGGATTGTGCGTAACCTGAATATTGTGGTGATTTTTGGTGTAAGGGGCCATTTATCACAAAGGTAAGCTTGTCAGGTGGCAATACAGACTGGAGTGCCCAAGGGAACTGTCTGTGACTCCCTGCTAAGGCTTTTATAGTGCTTGTGGAGTTCACACTTGGTACTTGGTTGATGAAATCTAATGACAGAACACACAGCCTATTTGGAGTTTGTGCCCTCTTTCTTGACAGTCTGCCCAGAGCTTGGCTCCCATGTTTGTGAGCCTCTCTAGACTGCTTGACACCATCTGTCTGAGGTGATGAGCTCCCAGGAAGTTAAAAAATGGGAGAGATGATCCTCATAAAGATGGGGGTGGAGGGATAGGTACAACATAGGATCTGGGGTAAAAAGTTTAGAGACCCTTTACCAATGGGTCAAAATGGGCATTTCAAGGCTGTTGCTGTCTAAGAGGTTGCTGTAGAAGAGACAACTTTCTTAGTAAATCTGGGTGATTTGGACCCTGTGATCTCAGAGAGTGCTCCATAGGCAGGAATTTAAATCTGACCTCCCTCCGTTTTTTAGATCTGCTTTTAAATCCTAAGCAGATCTTACATTTGGAGTGGATGTGAGTCTCTCTGTTGAATGGCTGTTGCTGGCAGGGTTTGAAGCCCGGGGTCTTAGGCAGAACCTGAACTTGAGGAAAAAAATACAAAGCCCAAGATGGGCAAACAAGGACAGAGGTGGAAAATGCCGCTCAAAGCACAAACTCCGCTAAATAACAGAACAAATAAAGAAAAACTAAAGACTAAGATAAAAGATAAATAAAGTGAGGTATAGCCAGGCACATGGCTGGCTAATGGATACCGTGATGCTCCATCTGAAGCTGCAGGCGGTGGAGAAGGAACTAGAGTGGCAGTGAGACTGCTCCTTCCTTTATTCCCACAGTATCAGGGCACAAGGGTGTCTAAAGTGCAGGCACGGATCTACAGATGCTCCTGATGAAAGTCTCTGATTAAGAGTGAATGAGCACATGCACATCATGACACATGGAGTGCCCATAGGGACACTACTCAAAGAAGAACAAAAAAGATTTAGACATCTAGTTACTAGATTTATGGGTGCATCAGATAGTCAAATGTCTAACACCTCTCATTTAGAATTATCTGCACCCACAATGATGTGACCACAATCTATTTTAGGCACAAACCTGGAAGTGCAAAATTAAAGGCTGGGTCAGATTTTCTGTTGCAGTTGAGATCCACTTGGCATAGAGGAGATGGGTAAATGTCAGGGAGCCTGATTCTGTGCTTGGTTCCACCTTGGACCCCGGGTAGGTGAGAGCTTCCTAGAGGCTGCACTAACTTACATCAGCTGGCAATGATCCTTAAGGGACCATATGCCAAATGGGGTTTGCCAGAGCTCTGGCTGTGTTCCTTCCACATCTCTAGTACTGGATGAAATGAGAGGAAGAGGAGGGACATAAAAGCCTGGCTACACCTATGGCGGATGAGGATGTCTTCATACCAGGAAATCTCCATAAGGTGATATACAGGGAGTTTCTACTCTCTTTGTACCACATGAACAACACAAAGGGAGCAGAGCAGAACTGAAAATTTAGCTCATTGTCTAAAATTTTGGCCTTTACGGTCTCTGTTTTTATGGAAAAATAATGAGGATATTTTTGAATTTCTGTATGATTTTAACCATTGTGCCTGGCTATACCTTACTTTCTTTATCTTTTCTCTTAGTTTTAGTTACTTTTTCTTTATTTGTTCTGTTATTTAGCAGAGTTTGTGCTTTGAGCGGCATTTTCCGCCTCTGTCCTTGTTTGCTCATCTTGGGCTTTGTATTTTTTTCCTCAAGTTCAGGTTCTGCCTAAGACCCCGGTCTTCAAATCTCTACTATAGACGTTTGAGTGAATATTTTCAGTACTGGACTAATTCAAATGACTCCTCTGCTAGCAAATATACAATACATGAGATAAACATATTTAGCTTTTGGAACATACACTGCTGGAGTTACCCAATAACACACTTGTTTTTGGGATTCTAGTTCAAAGAGCATTTATACCAGACATACTGATATGCCTCTGCTTGTTTGCCTGAGATCACACTGATACAAAATTCAAGTGATCAATTTTTGCCTGTCTCAGGACCTCAATTAGAGTCAACAATTTTACCACACACAAGTATTTTAAAAGTACATCTCTGTAGGTTTGGATTTACGTTCGTTTAACAGTAGCACAGAAATGAAGAGAATTAGGAATGGCAAAAAAGCATCAGAGGCATCCTACAATCACAGAATATTCATTATGTGGGATATATTCCAAACTGATCCCAATAATTGATTCAGCTGTAGCCTTGTTTTTTATTTATTTAACAAGGTTAATTGTCTCCTTGAAAAGTTCATGGCTCGTTCTAGCCCTTTTGCCCTCCTGTGCACTGTTATTCTGCAATTCTATTTCAGGTCACTCAAGGGTGCCTCTGTGATTCATGGACATGGACATCAGATCAGGCATGGACAAATTAGGGGGTACATGCTAAAATGCATTGACCATGGCCTCTGATATAGAAGTCCAACTCCAGACTTGCTGTGATTATTCTGATTTATACTAGGTTAGTGCCCAAAGGATCCCTCATTGTGCTAGCTTCTGTACAAACACTTGGAAAACCATGATCCCTGCCCCAAAAAGCTTACAGTGTAATTTAAAATAAGACAATAAATAATAGGAGGAAAAAGTGGAGGGGCGAGGACAAGGGTAGCAGTAATAAGTTCACATGGTTACACAGGCTAACTGTGCACATGGGCAGACGCTCAGAACTGTGCTTAGAACTAGATGGCTCTGAAGTCATTTAAAATTTAAAGGGAAAAAAAGTTTAACTATGGGGTTGGGGCTAGAGAAAGGATGAGGGGAAGGATGGAAATGGATAGGTTTTGGAGGAACGAGGATGGCAGTTCAACTATCATACCTGAGTTACCCTCCCTGTTTCTGGGTTTTTGGCTGGAAATGTAGACCAATGTCTACATTTGGCCTCAGACTCGTTAACAAACAAACAATCCTTAAGTTATATTCTGGTGGAACTGTCACTGCAGGACTTCCTGCTTCTCTGTTGCACTTATGGAGCTGATACGAGTACAAAGTGGGTGTAAAACACTTCCATTCTGCTTGGGTAGCTTTCACACTTAATTTGCACTGGTGAAGATAACTCCATAAGGTGCAGAGGAGCACAGAATCAAGCCCCAAGTCTTAACCATGTGAGTAATGCTCAGCACACCATGCTCGCATTGTATCTCTAGAGTCTGAAGTTATTGTTTGTTTTTCAGATGTAAAAGAAGGTTCAATTGTTGCAAAGAAATCAAACTGTTATCAGTTCTATTTCTAGCCATATTTTTACGACGGATGGTGTTTAGTTGTTCAGTTGGAGACTGAATTAGCATCATTTGCACATGGAGTACACAGAGTCTTTCATTTTACTGTGTGACCAGCTTACCTTAGTTCCTGTAGTTGGTACAAGTCCTACAGCTGCCATATATGTACTGCCAATTGTCTTGATCTTTTCTATGTCCTTATAACATTCTTTGTCCAGAAGCTTTGTTTAAAACATAAAACTGTTAAACATTACATAATATTTTAGACAACAAACCATAGCTATCAGATAATATGTGCATATTAAAGTTGATAAACCACTTCAGTCTTTATAAGCCCAGTCTTGTTCCCATTCAAGGCAGTGGAAATATTCTCAGTGACTTCTGTGGGAGCCGCATCAGACATAAATGTTTTTAAGGGCATTTTGGGCCAGATTTTATAAAATATTTAAGCATGTACAGAGGCATATGGGTGCCTAATGGGATCTACAGAAGCACCTAGATTCCTAACTCCCACTGAAATCAGATGTTTACAGAGTCACATTATTAGATAGCCAAACTAAGGAATTTTCCACAAATAATCTTGAATTGGCAGAAGTCTGGTGGACTCAGTAAGATCAAATGACAGAGAGTTTAGACCTTACCTCATCAAAATCGGCAATAATTTCATTTAAGAGGCGTAAACACTCCACTCCCATGTTATTGCCATCCAGTTCAATGTAGAAATCGTTGAAATTTGGGATGGAAGCAAACATCACTCCCACTTGTGAATATGACTGGTAATAAAGGTCCTGCAATTTTTGAATTATATGGGTTTTTAAAATTAGAATTTGACATAAACAGGCAGTATCATCCTTGTGATTTCTTGAGCTCAGATTTACTTTTGTTAAAGAGAAATACCATAATGTTTACCAAGCTCTGTCCTATAAATGAAACAGGTCATAGAACGTTGTTTTATTTCCTATGACATGTCCTGCCTCATTTTCCACCCCTTCTCCTGGGAGGTGTAGAGGGCCTGAGATGCAGCACAAGCAGTGTAATTTTGGATTTACAGAACTCCTAGAAGGTTGCATGCTTGAGAGACGGGAGCTTGAAGCAAGGTGTGTGATGAAAGCAAAGAAAGACCGTGCAGGTTCACTGGCTATTCTTGCCTGTGAAAGAGGAGCAACGGTGGCTGTACGGGTTACTGCAGCACTGAAGAGGCTGTAGCCACTACAGAGTGGCTTTGCTACCACGGAGCAGGCCGAGGGAGGAAGGGACAACTTCCTCCTGTTACAAGATATTACATATAGAGCCAAGTCCTTCACTCAACACACAACCAGAGTATTGAGGCTTTGAGCTGAGAAGATCTATAGGGTTGTATCTGTTTATTTGCTCCACCATCTTTTTACTGTGAGACATAAATACAGTCCACGCATGCATTGTGTTCGTACAACAAATAATTATAAGAGCTCAATCATGCCTCTCCCGAGGCTGGGCCACACTGGGGATAGGCCGCAGAAGTATTGCTGGAGCACTGGTGCCTGTGGGAGAGCTGCTCCTTTTTCCATTTAGTCAATGTGTGCAGTATGAGCCCAGCAGTGCAGCTGTCTGGGATAGGGAAGGGCAGGGCCTTGGACTTACCCTCACACTGGGCCATAAATAATGGCCAAACTGGGTCCATTAGTTCTGCCCGTAGCTTTAGCACCTTCCTCTACACCCACATTTCCCTACAGATGTGCAATGGAGGTGTGGGAGGTGGGTAAGGAACTCTCTGCACAATTCCCCCCTCCCCCCATGAAAGCTGCATCGGGGCAACCATAACGTAGCCCTAAACATTTTTATGAATTTCATATTTACTACCTAGCATAATGGGATGCTGACCTCAGACTGGGCCTTCTAGGTGCTATTGCAACACTAGCAATAACAGTAATAATTCATAGTGTCATTAGTTGGTCAACTGGTCCATCCCCTGCATTACTACAGGATTTAATTACTCCCACACTCTTCCTTTACAAAATAGGTGCCTAGATATTAATTATTATTATTATTAATTATTATTCTAATCTCAAGTATTCCCAATTATCATGATTCCACGCTATCCTGTAGCAGTTCGTTCCCTTGCCCAAGCTTTAAGATTAGTTTTCACACTCAAAGTTACTGTATCCTTCTAGAGTTGTAGAATTCCTTATTTTGACTTTTAAATTTCTGTTTTTGTAATTGGGGCACATTTCAAGAACCTTGAGTGGCTCAACTGGAAGCGTCTGACATGTCACACTATATTCTATTCAGAACCAAACTGATCTCAGTGGAAGATTGTAATAAACTCCGATCTTTTGACTTGATTGGAAAAGAAATTGGTTATTTGCATGTGGGCACTCAACTGCATTGATGCGGAATGACACCGCATTCACCTGAACGTTATTGTACTTAAGTCCTTCAGAAAAGGTGAATGCTACCGAGAAAGTGAAACTAACCCTGAACTGACATCTGACAATGGCTTTTACCAGAACTATTCAATTTAATGTGTATGAAATGTAAATGTTTCAAGCTTTTAAGAAAATATATAATTTCCCTGACCTGGGTGTCACACAAAAATCATGCATATCATTACGTGCTTATTTTCCCCCCCATAGCCTTACCATGTTCCTAGGGTTAGACATAAGAAAGTGCTGTGCAACATGTGCTGGCAAGAGATTGAAGAGAATTCTTTTATTATCCAGCTTTACTCTCTCCATATCATCTCTCTCTTCTTCTGCCTAAGGGTGAGAGTGGGAAAAGCTCTTTAAAATTACTGTTTTATAATGAGCATAACATTAATTCAGATTATCAAATTGCTTCGTCCGGCTCCAGGCTTTAAAAATCAGATTGCATGGCAAAATAATAAATATCACTCTTTATTACAGTTGCAAGAGCTGTCTGCTTTTAACATACAGAGCAAAATCCTGAACTCCTTATTAGGATAAACTCCCACTAAAGTCTGTGGGCCAATTTCTGCTCTTAGGTCTTGATCCGAAGTCTGCAAAAGTCCCCCATTGACTTGAATGGACTTTTGATCAGGACCTTAGTTATAGGTGTAACTCCACTGAAGGCAATGTGGTCCAATGAGAGTTTGTATGAGCAAGGATTGAGTCAATACTTCAGGATTTGGCCCACAAATCCTTCAATGCCTTTTTAAAATTTCAAGTATGCAGATGACAGTTTTCTAAGAAATATTTGCATTCTTGTATGATTTCTACATTATACAGGAATTCTTTGTGCTTCTATAGAGACTTTATCACTTGCAAATGACAGAATTTCTCCAAATGGGGCTGAAGATTCCTACACATTCAGACAACAGAGTCTATCATTTGCTGTAGCGGGTGATAATGCTCAAAAGGACGTTTTAAAACATTTGTACAGGCTAAGGAGCAGGTGCACAAAAAGAGCTTGGATGTTGCAAGCTAATCTAACCCTGGGTGCCTAAAGTTAGATTCCTGGATCCATATTCAGGCATCCAAATATAAATGATTTGATCTGCAGAAGACAGAGGGAACTGCGGATTTTCAGCACTTTTGAAAATCAGACCACTTTTATTTAGCTGCCTAAACATGGACCTAGGAATCTGACTTTAGGCACCCTGGTTTGAAAATGTTAGCCTCCGCTCTGAGCAAACACATTCCCCCCAAATTGTATATCCCTAGTCTTTTCTCAAGACACAGTGCCTATCAGATCTTTCATCCAAACGCTCCTAGTGAATCAGACAATTGCTGATCAGGAGGGTAAAATTCAGCCTACGGAAATCACAGCAAGTAGAATTTATTCTTTTAACTTCAACTCCCTCACCAAGCTGTAACACACACTCCATTTGTCATCAAGCACAACAATAATTCTTGTTTATCTATTTGCAAAGTCAGCAAAAAGATGGAGGGCCAAATTCTCAGGTATTATAAATCAATATATCTCAACTGAAGTCAATGGTGGATTTACAACATCTGAGAATCCAGCCTAAAATTTCCCAATGTCTTTTTTATATGTAGACCTTGTCATACTACTAACATTGCAAAATCTGTTTGCTCTTCTCACAAAGACTATGCACATACTGACTAACGTGGAGGGTTGCCTGGTACACATTTGCCTGGGAGAAAAATCAGCATGCTATCTCCCATATACATACAATCTTATGATTAGAAGAAAAGTTTTGATGAGGAGAAAGCAGGTTTTGTTGTTTTTGATGAAAAGTTTAAATTTTCAATGGAAACTCCCTGCATTTTATTTTTGATAATCTCTACACAACAGTCATTGATCAATTATAGATGGCTTTGCTTAGCAGCCATTTTCTGCAGAGTGTTCTTTGAACTTCTTGTCATTCTTTAAAGAGATGCAGAAAAAGAAAAGCTGAAAAAAACTAATTTTGTCAAGTTGTCCTCTTTGGGAATGATCACCCCCTTTGGAAATACCCATTCAGCTTCTGCTCTAATTTGGACTGCAAGAATTTATTATAATTTATTCTGGATCCCTTACTGAAGCTGAGCCCTCCAGTGACTCTGAATACAATTTGCAGTCCAACCAAAGTCTCTGTTTTCCATCTGTAAAGTATTTTCTTGACACTTTTTAATGCTTAGCGTTCACACTCTGTCTGCTTTCTCAAAACAGCCTCACCACCTCCTATTTTAGAGATGCAAACACTGTGTTTCTTTATCATTATCTACAAGCATTTGAATATGTGAATGATGACAATCTGCAGCCTTATTGGTGGAGTCTGAGTATTTTATAGTAAAAACAAGAAGCTTTTCTTGAACTGCAAACTGAAACTGAGTTGTGTACATCCTGGCTTGTATTATACTCAACGCATGAAGCTAGGGTTCTGAGAACAGTAATGGGAGTCCTGCATTCCTGAATTCTTACTCTATCTGTGGGCCTTACCAAATGCTTCTATTCCTTCATCTTTAACTCCCGGGAGTGTTATGAGGATTAGTTAGTAATGGTCTGATTTTAGAGGTGTGGAGTATAGTACTTGCAGATCCCATTGAATGGTTGCTGCTGAGAGCTCAGCATTTCTGAAAATCAGAGCACTTATTTAGGTGCCTTGTAAGGATTTTGGGGCACAATTTTAGGTGTCTATTTTTTAAGGCCACCATTTTCAAAAACAGGAACCTCTGAAATCTAGAGAAACTCTTGAAGGTCAGTATGATAATATTATGCTGGAGGTCGGACTAGATGATCATAATGGTACTCTCTGGCCTTAAAAATCTGTAAAAGGATACTTGTTAGTTAGCTGTGTCTTTACCAAAATGGAAGTGTGAATGATAAACAAGAAATACACATCAATAAACCAGAATACAAAAATTTATAAAGTTAGGTGTGAGGAATATCCCATGTAACCATCAGGTAACGTTCTGTGGTGATGTGCACACCATGATGTAAGACAGATGTAATGTTCTCTTCTGGGAGCACTTCCAGTTTTGGCCTTCTTTCTTGTTAGTATTTATTAGGATCAAGATACCTTTAAATGGTGAATATGCATAGTCATGTAGTCACCACAAACAGTGAACCATGGGTGTTATCATATAACTGTGTATGAAGCAAAATACCCTCCAGATTAATATTACGGGGCAGAACAGAAGTTAAAATAATAGTATACCAAATTCTTCCAGTCATGTAACAGATGTGTGGAGACATATGGTCAAATCAGAGTAGTCTAACAGTAGGGCTGGGTAAGTGGAGTAGAAAATTTGAAGCACTGCATGGATATTAATGCTATTCAATCACTATTTGTTTGGCCATCTGAGGCAGGAGTGCATGATTAGCATTCCTCTAACTCTGATTTGTCCAGTTTTAGGCCATGCTTCCGACTCCTGGGCAAAATAATTGAGCAAGTACTAACCATCAAACTTCATCAACATGTGATATCAGCCAACATCCTGGAGGCCTCACAATCAGGGTTCAGACCAGGGCACAGCAGAGACCGCTCTAGTGGCACTAAAAAAGGTAGGGACCACAAGGTATTACCACACCTACATGACACAACAGGAGTATATAGCCCAGCACCACAGTGGCTCCAACCACTGCTCTCCAACAGAACTCAGAGTGGTGTTCTCCTCTCCAAATGTCCTCATCTGCGGAGCCTTGCAGGGACCCATACTATTCCTGCTGATCTTCAATATCTACATATCTACCACTGGGAGAGATAGTGATATGTAGTGGGTTTAACTGCCAAGAGGAGGCCGACGACACTCAACCACCACTACTAAAATGTCAGAATGCCTGCAAGAAATTAGTTCTTGGATGAAGAGCAGCTGCTTAAGCTGACCCCAGGCAAGACCAAAGTGATGCTGGGTGCAAAGGGGAAACACTTCCAAGAGCCAGCACTGGCCAAGATGGTATCTCCACCTTTCACCAGAGTCAGGCGGTCCCCATTAGTCAAAGTGGTGCAAAGCCTCAGGGTCTTGTTTGACTATTCACTAAACTTGGATGAAAAAGGAGGATCAGTTTCCAAAACTACCTTCTTTCACTTCCAGTTTGCTATGAAATTTCATCCCTTTCTCCCCAATGAGAAACTGGCCACAGTGATCCATACATTTGTCACCTGCAGACTGGACTGCTGTAACTCACTGAATAGGAAGACAATGCACCGGCTCTAGCTGGTACAGAATGCAGCAACTTGCCATTTCCATGCCTTAGCCACAGTGGGCACTAGGGTGACCAGATGAGAGACATGAAATATTGGGGGGGGGGGGGAAGGAAGGGGCACCGGCGGAGCAAAAAAACAAAAAACAAGAGCCACCAGAGCATAGGAAAAAATGGTGGGGGCTGAGCCCCCACCAGCAGCTCCCCGCCCCGCCCTCACCTCCACCTCCCCTGAGTGGGCTGCCGCATCCTGCTTCTCCCCCTCCCTCCCAGCGCTTGCGCCGCCATACAGCTGATTCGTGCAAGCCTGGGAGGGAGTGGGGAGGGGGAGGAATGCGGTGTGCTTGGGGAAGAGGCGGGGCCAGGGCGGGGATTTGGGGAGGGATCCAATGGGGCAGGGAGGGGGCAGAGTCAGGGTGGGTCAGGTGCTGAGTTGGGGGCGGGGGGACGCGAGCCCCCTCCGCCTGTGTGCCGGAGTGCAAAATATCAGGACAATTCGCATCCCGACCGAACATCGGTAGGGATATGGGACAAACAAGTAAATATCGGGAAAGTCCCGATAAAATCGGGACGTCTGGTCACCCTAGTGGGCACATCAGGCTTGTGATCAAGACTCGCCAATGTCTCCATCAGCTTCTGATGCCAGCTTAAAGCTTTGGTCCTAATTTTCAAGCTAATTAATGGATTAAGCCAAAGCTACATCAAAGACTGATTTTCAATCTATGAACCCCCACAACATCTGGCACAATGCAGATCACAAAATCCTGGAGGGAAGCACACGAGAGGGGGCACAAAGCATTCCGTGTCCCAGGGATCCAGATAGAGATAAGGTGAATCCAGAGCCTGACCATCTTTAGGGAAGACTGCAAAGCATTCCTCTGAGGAAGAGTTTCCAATATAAGTGACACTCACAATATAACCCCCCCCACACTATTCCAAAGCCCTACCAATTCTACAACTCTACCCCCCTCCACAAAAACACCCAAACCATATCCTACGTAAAGCTTTGACCCAAAAAAGGACAGGTGCCAGAGACCCCATGAAGTCCACTAGAGACTTTGCTATTGCTGTTGATTTTACATGGAAGGACTCAGATACTAGGGTGATGACAGCAGTATAAAACCCTAAGATAGATAGCAGAGCTTGGAGC